GGCTGGCCTGACCCGGGAGCTGCCGCGGGACTTTTCCCGAGCTGCGAGGGAGTGGCGGGCTTCCCACCGGCTCCCGGTGTTCGGGGCTCCAACCCTCAGGGGGTGGGGGTGGCGCTAAGCTTCCTTTGAACCGGACTTGAGCCTCAAAACACCAGATTTGGACAATTTGCTTCTGGTTTTACTGGGGGCAGGGCTGAGAGTGAGGCTTCTTCCGAACTCAAGTCAATGATGCCTTCCAGTTCATTCATTATTAAGGCATTGAGCAAGTGAAGTAAAATTCTCCTGATTTCTTATCCTTTTAGCCGTGTAAATTGAGTAAAAGTTCTTGATGTTAGTTGATTGAAGTAGGGTTCTGTTCTGCTTGTACATTTTAAAGAAACTTGTAGCTTTTTCTTGAAAGACAGCTGGTTGTAGAGTCCTCTAGTAACCACAGTTTTAGATAGGTTTTGAAAATTTCATCACTCAAGACATTTTTCTCCTCTCCTTTAGAGATCCACAAAGGTCACATATTTGAATTGTCCAAGCAAAGGAATCTGTGTGCCACCCTCACCCCAAGTTTCCTGCTAATTGGAATAATGGGACGAATGAGTTTTAAAACGTTATTATAAAATTATGAAAGACAGTTATTGTTTGCACAGAATAAATGATTTTCACATTATTAAAAAAGTAAGAAATTTTAAAATGATTGTTCTGAAAGAAAAGCCATACTCTTTAAACTTCCAGTGCTCCCAAGAATCAAGCAGGACTGGTCCCCCCAATTCCCTTTATCTCTACACTTCAGCTTCATACTTTTTTCTTTCTACATATTGGTCTTTTTCCAAAGACTCTATTTCTGTAATTCCTTATTTTACAGAATACAAAACTGACACGAGGGAGTTAATAACCCACTCCACTCCCTTTTTTCTAATCTCAGATGTTACCTTTACTGACTTAATGTTTCCTTTGCCTTTAAATAATTTGAAGCACAAAGTAACATTTCTTTCCCGATGTTATAGTTATGTTCTTACAGTTTTCTCCCCGCCCCTCTCTATCTGGTTAAACAGTCCTGTAGGGATGATTACTTTAAACCTTGAAGTTTACAACAAAGCCATATTATTGAAACTATAATAAAATGCAGGTGGAAATTGCTTAAAACTTTTTTGATATTTTTTTAA